CAGGCAGACCTGGCCTCTGCAGGACCCATTTTTGTGGCTAGGAATTTATTCTTTCTGTCCCAGCACAGCATTGAGGAAAAGTGAGTGAGGTGCCAGTTTTCCTCTAGCTTGGATGAATTTATGATGCATCATTGTGCTTGGAGAAAATGCTATTTATTGAAAATAAAAGGAAAATAGGAAAAAACTGTAATACTTATAGGTGATTGCAAGAAAACTCTTGGATATCGTTCCAGAGTCTTGGTAATAGTAGTTACATAATATAGCAGTGAATGTGTGTGAGAGATTAGAGAATTTTAGAAGGAAGAAACTGAGGTTCTGAAAGAGACATGGTGTACTAAAGTTTATCCAATCAAAGCATTCACAGAGAGGGAGTAGATCACATACAGAACAGTGGTGGTTTTGGAAAAGATCATATGATAGCTAGCAAGACTATGATGAAATGTTGCTAGAAGGTTATTCAAAGGTGCATTTTGTGAGGGCAAGATTGTAAGGCATGTTAGGGTAGGCATTAGGGTGATTTAAAAAATGTATTTGCTTACCACAAAAGGCAAGTACAGGTTCTGCACTGATGCCTGTCCTGGTCTTCTTTCCCTCTTGATGTTAGAATGTGGCAAATGCTCGGTAATCAGTGAGCCAGTGATTTCCAAGGCTCTTGTCTTTGTCTGCATCCCATGTCCAGGGATTGTGCAGTTGGCTAACTGCACCAAAGCCTGGAGACCAGGTGTCTGCCAGGACTGAAGCTCAGTCTTTCCCCCTCTCACCAAGCCCTATACCATTAGCTGAGTACTGTAACCATTCTGAGACAAGGGTGCCATTTTCTTTACTCCAGATGTACATAACCTACCAATGTTTGCACCCATGCCAAGCTGGCCGTGTCCAGAGGAGGGTGCTTTTTCTAACTTACAACCGAAAATACAGGCAGAAATGGTTCTGCGTGTGCCTACTTCTCTGTTAGAAAGGAAACCCTCCTCTTACTCACACTCATTGGATTCCAGTTAAGCCACTATTTGCACGGGCATTCCCCAAGGAAATTCACGCTGGAGAAGAGAGATGAAAATATCTATCTCAATTCTAACTTTGTATAGGAACTCCATTCTCCATATATCCATAGACTATTGGATTCCTTTAGCCTATGTGTGAAGAAGGATCTGATACAAAGCCTAAGTCTTACTGAAAGCCTTATTGTCTTTAGTGAAGTGTTAAATAGTCGCCTTCAAGCATTCACTTTTTTAGATGTCTTTGCAGGATTTAAAGAAAGAATAAAACATGCCAGGATATTTATGATTCATGAGATTTAATAGAGACCAAAGTAGATCTTATTATTGATGTGCTTACTGCTTCATTAAATTCCCCTTAAGGTTTGCAGCTTGGATATGGATCATTTGCAATAATAATTATGCAGTGATCGATTGATTGGGTCTGACATTGCACTTGTCACCTTGAAATGCAAAATCCATCCATTTTCAACAGTGTGAACATTTCTCTCTAATCTTGCACACCAGCATGTGATAGTTTATTTTATGGAGAAAGTACAATTTATAAAGTTTGGAGACTTAACATTAACCTTTTACTAAGAATGAAGTATCACTTGTCATTTTACAAAGAAATGAAAATCATCCAACCAGCAATTTTTTTGAGATTAGAAAACACAGCCTAATTTCAGAAGAATTTTTCAAACCCAAAATGCATGCACTTCAATTGAGTGCTACAAGTATATTGTGAGTATTGGAGTTACTAAACATTCACGTGGAGCATATATGTTAAATTGTGAGCTTGAGACTAGCTCTGTTTGTGTGTAAAGAAACACACACACACACACACACACACACACACACACATCTATTTGTCTGTCTGTTTCCATGATTAATTCCCTAATTCTTTCTGTACCTAAAACAAAATGCAAAAACTGTTTCTGAAAAGTGTGAGTGCTTTCAAAGCTGTCGGCCCAATATATTACTGAAAGTTATTCCATTTGAGGATTTACATATTTCTTTCCAGGTTGTGATTTTTAAAGAGGGGATAAAAAAACCAATGACCTCATTCCTTTGTGTTTGTATCAACTTTGATTTCCAGAACTTTAACTGTCCTGAGTTTATGACATGACCCGTCTCAAGTCAGTATGGCAATGAGTTATCGTTATAGAGTTGCCTATTAATGGCAGGCATCATTCCTGATGCTGGAATAAAACAGCGAATGAAGCTGGCCTGGCCCATTTCCACACATCACCTACATTCTAGCCAGGAAGCAGAAGGCCATCTTCAGCCCTGCTGAATTTAGCAATGTAATATTTTAATTGTTGTGAAAGGACATTCACAATGTATTGCTATGGTAAGAGATGATCGGTGACAAAACCTGTGTCTCCAAAGTGTGGATAGAGATCATCTACACACCTAGATGCTAAAAGTGGTTGGTATAAATGATCTTTTTTCACCTTTTTGCAGTTTGTAGTTTTTTTGGTTATGTGTAGCTGTTATTTACATATTAAATATGACTTAAAGAAATGTAAATAATAATGAATATGCCTTATACAGGACAAACTAACCAGCAAGTCTGGTGGTGTCAGAATTTGTTTTGAAAAACCTCTAAGGTACCCAGCAACATGTCAGAAATTACCCGACTGGTGGCTTAAAGTGACTAACTCTAAGTCATGAGAAAATGCTATTACCTAGTGACACCGTTTGCAAGAGAACACACAAACAAATGGTTCTGGTGTTTAGCCGAGTCTCTCTTTCAGACATCCAAGGACAGTTGAAATCTTCCAAGTGTCTGTTGGTTTAGACAGCTTGCTCCCTATTATTAACAACAAGAGTAAAATGGAATTGAAATTTGGTTTTTTTTTTTCCAAATTTGTAGAAAATTCTAAAATATGTGAATCTATTCTAAAATAGTTTGTTGCAAAAAGCAATCCTAGGGCCAGCCTTGTTGGCTCATGCCTATAATCCCAGCACTTTGGGAAGCCGAGGCGAGTGGATTGCCTAAACTCAAGAGTTCGAGACCAGCCTGGGCAACTCGGTGAAATGCTGTCTTTACCAAAGTACAGAACATTAGCTGGGTGTGGTTGTGTGCACCTGTAATCCCAGCTTCTCAGGAGGCCGAGGCAAGAGAATTGCTTGAACCCAGGAGGCAGAGGTTGCAGTGAGCCAAGATTGCTGTCCAGCCTGAGTGACAGAGCAAAACTCTAAAAAAAAAAAAAAAAAAAGAAGCAATCCTGCAATCTTAAAATGTCAGAATAGTAATTTTAGGAAATATGTCTTTTTTTGTTGTTGAACTTTAAGTTCTGGGATACATATGCAGAACGTGCATGTTTGTTACATAGGTATACATGTGCCATGGTGGTTTGCTGCATCCATCACCCCATCATCTACATTAGGTATTTCTCCTAATTCTATCCCTCCCCTAGCCTCCCCACCCCCGATAGGCCCCATGTGTGATGTTCCCCTCCCTGTGTCCATGGGTTCTCATTGTTCAACACCCACTTACGAGTGAGAACATGTGGCGTGTGGTTTTCTGTTCTTATGTCAGTTTGCTAGCATAATGTAGCTTCTCATAAGGGGGATCAGTGTAGCTTGGACATCTTCTTAATCAACCTGGTACCTCATCTTCACCCCCATCAGGAGAGTATGCCTCTCAGGTTAAAATAGATGACTGCCATTCTGAGATGGAGGGAAGTTGATTCTGAATCATAGACAAGGAAAGAGGAAGATTTAGGAAAATAATCTATTCCAGATCCTGACTTTAAAAACAGTGACTTACCTAATGAAAATGTTGGACTTCTGTAGTCAAGTCAGGGCCTCTTGCTATGACATCGCCAACTCCTCAGCCTGGGTATTTAAATTAGGACACCAGAAAGACACAGGTTTTCATGTCGGTTGCATATTCATGGTCAGTGGAGATAAGGGCAGTTAACCAAGGAACTTTAACTTTCGTCAGTCACTCATCCTTTCTTGAGTATTGCTCTTCCTTATTTTGGTTGTCACTTGTAAAAATCACCAACACAAATAGGCTCAGACAAAATACACTCCTCAAGGGAGAAATCACTGGTACAAAACAGAAAAGTCCCAGCCAGATTTAGAAAATATTCTCAGACGTGTGTGTGTGTGTGTGTGTGTGCGCGCGCGCGCGTGTTCTTGTGTGCTTATGTGTATGTCTTTACATCTCTCAGTTCTGCTGTCTTTAATTCAGTCACAGAGAAGCCCTCCTTGGCACCTGTGGCTCTCCACTTAACATTCTTCTAGCTGAGCCCCTCGAGCTGGAGGGGAGCACCTCTGGCACTAAAGCCTGGATGATTAAGCAAAAGTCTCAGGACTGCCCCTCATTGCTTCAGATTAAAGTATATGCTCATGTATTACCCCATCACGTTTGCTTGGCAGTAGTATGTGGAGATTGGCCAAGTCTAGGTCACGTGATTACTCATGTGAAGGCCAATCCTTAACTTCTCTGGAATCCTCTGATCTGACTTTTTTAAAAAATTAGCTTCACCTATTTTCTTTTTTCTTAACTTTTTATTCCCATAGGTTATGGGGGAACAGATGGTGTTCAGTTACATGAATAAGTTCTTTAGTGGTGATTTGTGAGATTTTGGTGCACCCATCACTCAGGCCATACACATAGTACCCAATTTGTAGTCTTTTTGTTTTTGTTTTGAGACATAGTCTCGCTCTGCCACCCAGGCTGGAGTGCAGTGGCATGATCTTGGCTCACTGCAACCTCTGCCTCCCAGGTTCAAGCAATTTCCTGCCTCAGCCTCCTGAGTAGCTGAGATTACAGGTGCATGCCATCATGCCTGGCTAATTTTTTTTTTTTTTTAAGTAGAGGCAGGGTTTTACCATCTTGTCCAGGCTGATCTTGAACTTCTGACCTAATGATCCACTCACCTCTGCTTCCCAAAGTGCTGAGATTACAGGCCTAAGCCACTGTACCTGGCCCCAGTTTGTAGACTTTTATCTGTCACTCGCCTTCCCCCTTTCCCCTGAGTCCACAAAGTCCACTGTATTATTCTTACACCTTTGAATTATCATAGCTTAGCTCCCACTTATGAGTGAGAATGTACAGTGTTTGGTTTTCCATTCCTGAGTTAGTCTCCAGTCCTATCCAGGTTGCTACAAATGCCATTGACCCATTCCTTTTTATGGCTGAGTAGTATTTCATCTTATTCATATATATGATATATGAGTGGATATATATATATATATATATATATATATGTATATATATCTCCACTCATTGATTGATGGGCATTTGGGTTTTGGAGAAACCATCTGATCTGAGAATCTGAGAATGGAGGACGTGTCTCAGTCAGGAGAGGCGTAGGTAGACAATACATGCTAAGCAAGGATTGTTATAATTGTTCTATGCCTAGTCTTTGTGCCAATGACAACCCTATGAAAGTACTTAGTCCAGTAGGATTTCTTATAGCACAACGCCCTGGTGTTCATGAGACTGAAAGTTCTGGAGTGTTTAGAAGGAAAGTTCTAAACAGTTCTTACAGTATAACTCTGGCATTCATGGGACTGAAAATTCTGTTGTATTTAGAAGGAAAGTTGTAAATAGTTCTTACAGCACAACTCTTTGGTATTCACAGGACTAACAGTTCTGAAATATTTAGGACCATTCAATACCCCCACCTCCTGTCTTAAATTTCTCTTTGTCCCTTGAAACTCCTTTACTGTCAATCTGTAGCAGCTTCATGACCTGTGAAGACACAATGCACTTTGACTCTGTTTCTCCTAGGGACTCTTCTTATTCTCAATGATCAGGTACATAATGACTGTATATCTGTGAATATGTACATGCATGAGTGTGTAAACACCTAGGTGAGTTTCCATCTCTAGAAATCACTGTTATTCATCCTGGATACAGAATGTACAGCTTTGTTTAATTAAATGGTAAAGCTAGTTGAGAATTGGCAAATGGAGTCAGATTGAAAAATATTTTACAGCTCTCTATTCTTCATTTTATATTTCTGGTGATAAACAGAGAAACAAACAAAAAAACACTCTTGGTGATTATAAGTGATGAACTTAAGTCTGTGTGATCCCTTTATAATTGAGTAGATCATTAATTCACCACTACTTGTTGCCTTTTGGCTTAAACGTTTGTGTTTTCTATGTGCTTAGGGATTTTTTTATCTGTCTGTCTCAAAGTCCCGGCATAATAATAATAATTTTGTTTCTCGTGTAATGATTTAATTCAACAAACATTTATGGAAAACCTTCCATGTGTGAGCTCCATGCTAGGTGCTTGAGATATGAATTCATGACACATAATCCCGGCTACCAAGAAGCATCAAATTATTAAGGAGAATTAGAGAGTGACATGAGCAGATGCCTTAAAAGGTGTCTGATGAATAGTGTTAAACAAATACACAAACAAACAAAATACAGTATTAATTGATTAATGAACCCAGTGTTTATCCTGCACCTGACACTATTCTTGGCAGTGGGCATGCAACTAGGAGGAGATGGACAAGTCCCTCATCCCATGAAGCTTGCATTTCCACATAAGACACACAGGCAAAAACAAAACAAAACAAAATAACACCAAATGAATAAATGCATAATTCCAGCCTGTGGTAAGTGCTGTGATGTCAAAAAAGACTTCTGTGAGGAAGTCATATGTAAGCCTATTTTGAAAGCGGGGAGGACCAACTATGCAAAGAGCCAAAATGGAAGAACATTCTAGCCAGGGAGAGCTGGTGGGTAGTGAACCCGTGGGAGATTAGCACACTGAGCTGGAGAGCAAGGTGGGAGTCTTTCTTCAGGGATGTAAGTGCCTTCTGGGGGCAGACAGACAGTAGATATTCTCATCCAATGGAGCATATTCTGGGGGGATTATTGGCTCAAACTGGAAGGGAGCCACTCCAGGGTGAAAACTGGACCTCACCTTAGAATTCCTTGATTCTCGTACAACACTGCTCTCCTTATTCAGGAGGCTTTTGTTGTTGTTGTTGTTGTTTTGTTTGTTTAAAATTTTTTATTGTACTCGAGGTTCTGGGATACATGTGCAGATCATGCAGGATTGTTGCATAGGTATGTACAAGGCAATGTGGTTTGCTGCCTCCATCCCCCCGTCACCTATATCTGGCATTTCTCCCCGTGTTATCCCTCCTCAACCTCCCTACCCACTGCTGTCCCTCCCCTAGTCCCCGCCGACAGACCCCAGTATGTGATGCGCCCCTCCCTGTGTCCATGTGTTCTCATTGTTCAACAGCAGGCTTTGTTTTATTTTCTTAAACACAGCTTTATCGAGGAATGATTAGCAAATAATAAACTGCATATTTGTAAAGTGTACATTTCGATAACTTCACTTCTGTGCATACCCGGGCAACCCTGACTGTGATCAAGGTAGCAAACGTCTCTGTCACCCGACGATCTTCTTCCTACCTCACTGTCATCCTTCTTTCCAGCTCTTCCCCTTGCACCCTCCCCAAGACAACCACCAATCCACTTTCTATTTCTATACACTAGTTTGCCTTTTCTAGAGTTCTATATAAATGGAATCATAGGGTAGGTGGAGTTACTTTTTATAGCCATTAAGCCTACACAGAATAAAAGTATTCTAATCTTTTTTCCATATGTCTTTTTGTGTCTGAAAATGATCTAAAACATCTTTAACCATAACCTCCTTGTTTTCTATATCCGTGGTCTAAAAACCTGTGTTTGCTTGACGCTGAAGGATTTTCTGACTTGAAAAAGTAGAGTTTACCTTTCCTTTTCCTCTCTCCTTTATTATTTTGGAAAATGCAGTTGACCTAGGAAAGAAAAAGGGAGACAGTGAGTCACAATTGGAGGGGAGGCAGTAGAGAGATGAAAACATGAATCAAGCAAAGATCCCACTGTATTATTCTGATCCCAGAAGTTAGATATATGGATGACCAATTTTCGGCTAATTAGCATAAAACAAAATACATTTCAGGAAAATTGTGCTCAACACAGTTTAATGTCTGATGGTTCATAACAGCCTCAGGGTCATCATGAGCATCAACTCTGGAATCAGAAGTTCTGGGGTGAAGGATTAATGGGGAACTGGTGTTCTGGGAGCTCAACATAGATGCTCACAATACCCCCATGAACAATCAAGAGCTTTTTCCTATTTTATTTCAGTATATTTTGTCCCATATTTGCTTCTTGAAGAATTTGAAAACATACTCAAGTTGAAAAATAGTGCAATATATGACTTTCAGAGATTAACAATATGAAGTCCAGGTCTAAAATGGATTCATCTATTCATTGATCGAGCAAACATTTATTAAACACTTACTGTCTCCAGGATATGGTGTACATGGTGCACAGGATAATTCTATATGTACCTATAAGTGTTTGTGTTTGCATATAATTCAGTGGGTTTGTTAGACATATGATTAATTGATTGTAAAATATGAAAGTCGACCCTGACATAGGAGTTTAAAGTAATGCAGCAATTTTGCAACATCCACCACAGTTAAAAGTGTCCACACTCTTTGGTCCTCCAATGGCACTAGTGGAAATTCATCTTGGAGATATACTCACCCCTGTCTGCAAAGATGCATGTATTACAGGCTCATAGAAGGCTTGTTTGTTGTACCTAAATCCCTGTCAAGGATGGACTAGTAAACGAGTCATGATATATGTATTTATGGTTGAATACTATGCATCTATGAAAAGAAGGAGGTTGATTTGTCTGCGTTGACATTCAACAAACTCTCAGACATATGGTCAAGGAGGGAAAAAGCATGAAGTGTAACATTATGTATGTTAGGCTTCCATTTGTCAATGGGATGGAAAAGTGGGCAATATATGTGCAGCTTAGGGAAATAGAAGACAGTGCTAACTTTTCAAAAGTTATTGATGAGCAGGGGAGTGAGGATGGAAAAATCCACCTCTTTGAATTATTTTAAATACTTCCAAGGTGATTGTACTGGATTTTCAGTTTTGGAAAACTAATCTTAAAATTAGACAAATAGATAAAATAAGTATAAAGGATACCAATAGTTTTTCTAATGTTAACCTTGGGACCTCACGTATTATTTGATGCATACGTCTCTGAAGGTTGCTGTTCTGTCCCCCTTCTCCCTTGACCATGCCCTGAAACAGAGAGAAAAAACCCCAATCCCTGCCACCAAACCCTCTCATCAGATTTGACTTCTGCCATGAAATTAATGAGTTACCAACTGCCTCTCAGAACCTTAAGGCATTTTGGAGTCCAGAAGGAAAGTGAGGCCCCCAGGCTTGCCCCCAGACATGAAGAAACCCAAACCATGTATGGAAGGAAGGTGGTGCATCTTTGGGCCTTTGTGATCCAGATGAGTGACAGAGTAACTCACCTAAAAAGAGAGGGAGGTCTCTGCCGATGGAAGCTGCTAATGGGGATGATAGAGTTTTGCACAACCCAGCGATCACAAGCCCAGTTTTAGGGCAAAGGACTCTAAAAACAGAGACAGCCATATAGGCACAGATAGTCCTCCTTTATTTAATTGCACCAGTAGATGCCAGGAGGGGAAGGGTCCTTTGGTGGAAAAGAAGAGGGGGTCATTGCACATCCAAAATATCGAGATGACCACTTTGAGCCATTTCATTCATTCATTTGCTGAACAAACCTGAATTCACACCTTCTTTGACATAGCCCTGCCCTTACATGATGGGGTGGAGTGCTAGAACCAAGTCACTAGCCTTTCTTGAACTTTTAATTTCATGCAAGGAAAAGAGCCCCTTATCAGATAATCTCACAGACAAATATAACATTATAAACTATGATAGGAATTATTAAGGACACTGCAGAGTAAAACAAACAAGGCAGATTATCTCACAGAGCCGAGGAGTTCTCATTCAGCTGTTTATTTAGAAGCCTTTTAATACTGATCACTAAGAATCTCAGCTGAGTGTGATAGCTCACATGTGTAATCTCAGCACATTGGGAGACTTTGGAAGGAGGATTGTTTGAGGCTAGGAGTACAAGACCAGCCTGGGCAACATAGCGAGACTGCCTCCGACCCCCAGTCTCTACAAAANAAAAAAAAAAAAAAAAAAAAAAAAAAGCCAGGTGTGGCATCACTTCTCATGTAGTCCCAGCTACTTAGGGAGGCTGAAGCAGAAGGATCCCCTGAGCCTAGGAGTTTGAGGCTGCAGTGAACTATGATCATGCCACTGTACTGCAGCTTGGGTAACAGAGTGAGATCCTGCCTCTTAAGAAAAAAAAAAAAGATCATTCCCACTTTACAATTGAATACATTGAGGGATTGAAAGATGCGGTTGCTTGGCCAACACAGCAAATATGAGTGGAGACAAGACTTGAGCAAATGAACACAGGGGCCAGTCTGAAGGAGACTCTGAGCATAGTAGTTGCATAGTTGGTTGTTTTAGCTATAAAATCTAAGAACTTCAAGTACACAGTGGTTAATAGCTGGAAGGGATCTCTCAGCATGAAGATGAGTGTAGTCGCTCTGGTGACATTTGGAAAATTAACATGGCACGTAAAGAACCTAAACCATATTAACTGCCCGTAGTTAAATGAGGCAGGAGTCAACAAAATAGAGCCTGGTATTGACAGTCTAAAAAGATTTTTGACTTTTTTCTTAAAATTTTGTACGTAATATTAACAACTGATTATGCCACAGGAGAAAATTTAGTGCCCGAAGACTGAAATGTCTGTCTATAGTTATTGTAGTATATGACTGGTAAAGGGCATGTATTCCACACCCCCCACATGGGGCACCTGTGATATAGATTTAAGATTTTTAACTTTTGATAGTAAAATGACACCAGGGCATCCATGTTCTCCCTGAAATTGTGTCTCATACC